ATTTTGCAAATTCTTCTATTAAATGTAGAAAATAAACGAAAAATTTTTTGCCACAAATAGCCGAATAATACTATCTTTTTCCGGAAAAATGTGTGAAATTGACACGAGGGATGGACGAGGGTTAATCCGATCCGAAAAAACTCGAATCGACGAAACGTATTCCATGATCGTCACTTAAACGGAGAATGCAATAACTTCCGCGCGGAGGCACTCGGAGGAAAGTCGCGAGGAACAGAGTTCGAGGAAGGAAGATTAATATCGATCGAACTAGTCGAAGCCAGGGGGGAGGGTGATTCCGTCGAACAACTCGAGGACATCAAAGTATATCGGGAAGGGTTTTGCCATTCTTGCCCCAAGGATATTACGCGGACCAACCAAGAGGCAAAAGAGCAGAAAAGTTGAAATAATTCCGCGTCGGGGAAATGTGGTACAATCTTCTTTGTTTAACGGAACACCGGAGCGACCGGGCAGATATTGGAATGATCAAAGGGATCAACCCGAGGCCGGGGGATCTTTTAAGAATTTATATTGTTTCATTTCCAGTGTTTATTTTTAATTTGCACCGGTCTAAAGAGAGCACGAGGAGCAACCGCGAAATTCTTAATTCTTTGAAAATTTTAAATCGATCGCTCTGCTGTACACTTTTTTCCTAACCGGAGGAAGGGTAAATACACTTTGCGGAGGATATTATTTTCACGGGAACAAGATTGAAGGATTTGTTTGATACATTTTTTATCAGCTTCTTTAATTTACCGCTTCGAACCTGTACAATTAACAGACTTGGCGAATCGTTGTTTGAACGGATTATTCGATTCGGTGGAATTATATTAAAAACACTCGGTGTGTCCTATATTACAGTGCTTTCACGTGTACAAGCTTTTACTCTTTACTCCGTGCCGCTACATTTTCTCGCCTTTCGTCAAATTTAACCGTACCGCTGCTGCTACTTTCGAGAGATCGAATCATCGCCATTTCGTGTTTCGCCCCCGCTTCGCATCCCACGCCTATCGATTATTCAGGCGTCTATTTTTACCTGGAACGTGAATCAAGCTCGCCGCCCGGCTCATTCACTCTGAAAATCTTTGTCGGATATGTTGCCGAATGGAACTGGCGGGGGGGAATAGGAGGTTTCGAATTCCTGCGCGAGGCTGAATCTCGTTTAAATTGATGCGATCTTGAAACGGTGCCGAAAAAACAGAGAGACTTGGAAGGAACGGACGAATCCGGGGGAGCATCAAACGAGGAATGTTCAGACTTTGATTTAACTGGCAGAAGCGCAGCATATGTCGCAACAAAGGTGCAATACGTAAAAAAAAAGAAAGAAAAGGAAAAAAGAAGGAGAAGGGAAAAAGGAGAAAAGAAGAAAAATAATGGAAAGACGTACACTTTGTGAAAAACAGCAAGGGAGCAAAAGACTTGGCGATGGCGAGAGGGGTCCCTGGTGTCAGTCTTGTCTTACGCTGCGATGCCTCTTCTGTTTTCATTAAAAGCTTCACTCTGTCTCTCTTCTCCCCTCCCTCTCTCGCTCATCGTCCTTCCTTTCGTCGTATAATATTACTCGTTCTTTTGAAAGTAAAAAACGGGACGAATGTCGTCTAAGAGACTCAATTCCTTGCTATGTTTCGTGTGACTTTCAAAGCAACAGAACGTGAATTATTTCGATGAATAATCATCATCCCTGAGGTGTGTGCATGCACAGTGTTCCCACGCGGTCCGCGTTTTCCTTGCCCCTTTTTAAAGGATCGATTCGCCGCTGTTACGCTCTCTTCTTTTTTTATCCAGCGAAAGGAGAGAGAATAAACGGAAAGCGTCTGCTTGTCCCACGATGAGAACGGATCGCGCTTTCAATCACATTCTTCATCGAAGGCACGGTGTAACGTCTGCAAAACTTACACGTGACTGCTCTCTCGTTAGCTTCGGCGAGCTGGTCCTCAGGAGCAAGTTGTTGGTCGCTGTTTTTTTCGCTTTCATATCCTCCCCGTTCCTCTCGTCACGTTCACGAAACGGTTAACGATATTCAAACAAACCCCTCTGCGCCGGGAACGAGCCTGGTCTGAAATCCGGACGATAGCGCGCGGATGAAAGTACGAAGGTGCTATCAATCTCCATCCGCGCAATAAACACGACAGGTATGAGAGAGAAGATGAAGAACGAGAGAAAATGTCTTTTAATACGTGCAACTAGTGCTTTTATATATTTTATTAAACGTAGACTGGACTTGGTATTGAGCATGAAAGTGAAAAATAAAAGGACTCGCAAGGGAACATCTTGATGCGATGATTACCAATTTTTATGAAATTTTGGTATATGGTGATTCTCAGAAAAAAATTTCCACAGGTATGATATATTTTTTGTCAGCAACAGTCCACGAGACTCACAAGGAAACGTCCTGATGTGATAATTGCCTATTTTCAAATTATTAAAGTATATTAGACTTGATAGCGAGGATGAAAACGAGAAATTTGATAATTACCGATTTTTATGAAACTTTGGTATATGGTAATTCTGAAAAAAACTATTCGACACGTATATATTTTATTAACAGTAACCCACAAGATTCGCAAGGAAACGTCCTGATGTGATAATTGCCTATTTTGAATTTATTAAGGTATATTAGACTTGATAGTAAGGATAAAAGCAAAAAATTTGATGAAACTTTGGTATATGGTTCTTCTAAAGAAAAATATTCGACACACTTTTTCTTCACGCTCATGAAAACATCCTGATGTGATAATTACCTACTTTGAATTTGTTAGTGAGGATAAAAACAAAAAGTTTGTTTTTATCATTTTTAATCAACAGTCATCCACATTGAAATCGTTCATAAATCATTTCTTTCACCAATAATAAAAGGATAATGCAAGTGATGCAAACGCGAACCAATTTTTTCAGATTATTCAAGAAAGATTCACAGTTACCAATAAATATAGGAAACATCGAACAACAGCGGTAAAAAGTACCCAACACGAGCGTCTATCAAATCCATCCAATTCCGCTCGATTAATCACAATCCCCCATCTCTCAGCAGGCTACTTCTCTATCCCCGTACTTTTACCTCCACTGACCAACATTTTCTTGCGGTGCCCTAAATCAACGCGATTCCATCCAGCCGCGGACACGCCCTTCCGATGTTACTTTCGCCGCGTACCGTATTACGTAAAGCGGTAAACGGAATTACGCCGCGTTGACAGATGCAAACGGGATGAAACTGTCCCCTCGCTCTCGCGACGAAGTCCATCGAATGTTAATCGCATAATCTAATATTTACCCCCGCGCTGCGTCGCGGCTTACTCTACGGTTTTTGCTCCCACCCCCTTTCTCTCTCTCCTCTCCCTCTATCTCGCGGCCGCTACTTCTATCGTTTCGTGCTTGCGGTCCTTTCGCAGGAAGTAGGAAGGAACAAAGCGGGGAGCAGCGCAAGGGGGGACGGGCAGGGGGTAAAGGTAATCCCTATTGTTTCTCCTGTCCCATAAATCCTACTAGCCACGTCGCCTTCCCGCCTCCTGCGCTTCTCCAGTCCCTCTCGCACTTCGGTTACCGACAACACACCCCCTTGCACACCCCCACCTGCTACAACTCCTGCTATTCTCAATCCCCTTGCTACGCCTTTCTCGGCGGCGTGCTTCGTAAATCTCGGTCCAGCTGTGCTTTACGGCACACATGTACTTCCGGGAAGAATACAAGTGATCCTATCTCCGGGTTCGACGGATCTCCCTCGACCCCCTTCAGCTCGATCACACGAGAGAGGGTTAAGTTAACGTTCGGAATTCTTCTTTTCTTCTTTTCCCGTTCGTTTCACGGATGGAAACACGATCGGTGTGAAGCGTGGATATTTAACGAGGGTGATTTTTTTGTGTGCGCCGGTGGTAGGGTAGGCACACGTAATGGTACTTGGTTCGCTTAAAATTGGACGATAATGATAAGGGATAACGTTCAAATGGATAATTGACGTAACCGGGGTTGGAGGTTTCTTTTTCTTTTTCAACGTAGCTTCCCGAAGGTTTAACTCTAATTTCGACGACAAGGGAACCTGATCGCACTTGAGAAATTTGTCGCGCTACCCCAAGTTTTCTGGTACGACGTTTCTATAGGGTTGTTTACGATCCATAACGCCTTCAGCGCGGTACTTTAGACTCTTGACACGTAGAAGGGGTTGCGTTTTTTTTTTTCTCTCTGTAACACCGAGAAAGGGTCGCTACTAATTTATGACGTTAAACTCTGACATCTTACTGTTGCCCGCGTAGATTTGTCACCGGTGTTTGTAATGCGGTTACACGGTGTCGCTTTGAGATCTTGTGTAAATGTAACCGTGACAAATTTGCGTCGTTGGAGTTATGCGTTTATTGCGTCTGCTAAAGTGTTTTCTACACATTTGTTAAGAATGCGTTATTTGCGATAGGCGATGAATTTTATTACATATACTGGACTCACTCTTTGAAATTAATTACTAAGAAAAATTCTCTTTAGCAGCTTCCTAACATTTCATCTCTAAAAATTTTTCTATGATAAATTAATTAATAAATCTCTGACTAAATAATAAAGAGTAAAGCTCCTATGAAAGTAAGAGACAAATTTTTCGAATGAAAGTTTTTGTATTTATCTTAAGGGCTGTTATTAGCGAATAAATAAAAAAACAGCGATGACTTCCACATCTCTTCACCGATTTCACCCGTAAGAAGAATTGTTATAACCATATAATGGATCCTTTTCTACCAAACAATTTTTATTGGAAAAATTTGTTTCTCATTTTCATGGTTCCAGATATAATCAAGGTGGTAGTTCTAACTTAATCTAACTGTCTTTCGCGATTAAGGCACTAGGAAGCCCAAGACGAAATGCATTCTTCTTTTCCTTTCCTTTTCTACCAATCTTCTCCCCATTCGTTCCTTCTTCCATAAAAAGGTAAACCATAAATCTAACATAACGCGTGTTTACGCGTACCGTTAATGTTCACTGTGCAGACGTGTCAACTAACGCCTTCTTTCTCATTGAAATTACAGATCGAGGATGCCATGCTGATGTTTGACAAGCAAACCAACAGGCACAGAGGTGAGTAAAATTTACGATTTTCTTGAAAAGGAACGTGGAATCGGTCTATTTTCTCCGCGATACAATAATTCGATACCCGTGGGCTGGTAATTGCTGTTTAATCACCGGTGATCGTTAAATCCCGCGCTCGTGAACATCAGAGGAGTGCTGACGTCGCGCGTCCGCCGGTGAAATTTCGTTCTACGTGTTGCAAATGCGTGCGTGCGTGCGTGTGCGCCACGCAAGTACGTCCCGCGCGCAAATATGCTGAAAATATGGTCGAGACTATTCTCTGTTTAGCGAGTCAATAATACTGGCGTTTCGCTCGCGCGGATCGCGCACCGGGTAATTAACGAGCCGGCTCGAAACTATAATTAGTAATTACGGTAATACGCGCGAAGCCAATGCGCCAAAGCCGGCACAGTCGAAGATAAATAACATTAATTTGACGCGGCGATCAGTCGGACCGTTAATCACGGTGATTGCGTGATTCAACGTCAACACGCGCCTTTCTTGCGACATCGGCGTCGCGACACGAGCAAACGGCTGGCCAGCCTGCGATCGAGCGACGTCAGCCAACGGGAATTTCCGCGTGTTTTTCGATCATTTATCGAACACGAGCAACCACGCTTAATTGGAATTTCCGTCAAACGGTAAAGTTCCCCGATAGGAAAACTGCAGTCGCGTTTGAAGCTCGAAATAGATCAAAAGATGCCACGTGAAAAATTTTGTCGATCCTTCAGAAATTAAACGTTCGATGCTTCTGAAGCATTCTTCTTGTAAAATGGGGAAGTTTGTAATTTCGAACTTGTGCAATTTAACTATTCGTAACCAAATTTTTTCTTACTAGGAAGAAATTAAAGTGAATTGAAGTGAAAAAATTAAAATTGCAGGTCTTCATTTTTCTGGGGAAAGTAGGAATTGCTAATTGCTATTTGTAACTTTTAAATCCGACAATTTTATGAAGGGTTAAGAAACAACGAATAACCTTTTTAGGTATATATGTATTTACAAAAGTTAAAAATGCTAGAAGATGTCTCTCCTTTTTCAAAATTTCTTTTTTATGTAGAAATTCTCTGAGTAGGGAGAGCTACTCTTTCCATGCTCAGCTTCTGGCCCGCCGCGCTCCTGGCGGGCTCCTGGGAGCCGTGACCCGCTCGCCGGTGAATAAAAGTGGTATAGGGGTTACAAGTCAGACTTGTTTCATGATTTCCAAAAAATCTCCTGAATGAAATGTTAGAAGTTGTCTCTCAACTTTTCCAGGGGAACTTATAATATTTACATTGGCTAACTTACTTCGCATTGGCAAATCTTAGAAACTCCACCTCAACATCTCTCCTGCGAAAGAAGTGGAAATTTTCTGGTTTTACCCAGAAACCACACGTGTGACGCTGCCTGTCCTGCTTGCATCTCTAACGTCTATGCGACCGTGAGCCCTGTGCACTTAACACATTGCTGACGGTATACTATGAAACGAATCGAAACTGAAAAGTGAAAAATTGACATCTGTGCTTTTTAAAAAATAATTTATAACACTTGGTTCAATAATAGTGGTGTAGACAATGAAAATTATCGTATCTCGTCACCAGCAGTTGAAAAACAGACGATGACAATTCACTTCTCCCGTCGCAAACATTTCAAAAACAAAAGACTCGAACTGTCCCGTCGACAATGTGTTAAGGTTTCCAACTTGCAGCAATCGCGAAAACGTCTAGGACTAAATCCTCGACAGCTGCGAGCTTATTTTTACTATCGGCGAGCAAACCACGAACCACGCTCCGTTACAATACGTACAGCGTTCTAAACAGATCGTACGAAGCTATTTGGAAGAATTCCACGGGACTTCTGGCAGTCGAACAATTAAACCCGCCTCGACCTTGGAAATCTAAGAGAAACATTCAGATACCATCAATATCATTGGTTGTCTACGCAGAATTGTACGCGGCATAAACGCGGTCGGCGTCTTTGTATTTCAGTCGGTCGCGTCACGCATAACAATAGGTCTATCGCGGCGGGCCGGTTACGCAGGCTTTTATTCAGGTGCGATTAACATAAAGAATAAAAGAAGGAACGCGTGCCAGGAATCGAAACGGCGAGCATTTACATCCGGCGCGCGTACTGCGTGTACAAACGACCAGAGAAATTTCGTTCGCGGCAGGGAAAATACGAAAAATGTAAATTCATCGCGGCTCGATTAGAAGCCGAACTGAACCAAGTGAAAGAGAGAAGAAAGAGAAAAGAAAAGAGAGAAAGAAGGAAACGAGGGAAGGGAGAGTCTATAAAATTAGCATAACACCATCTGTTATCATGAGCTTTTTTTCTGCGTTCGTGAAGGTCGTTCTGAATACTTTACCTAGCGCCCCGGTGTTTCCGTCTCCGTGAAACGAAAGCGTAGATTGAGAGATTAGCGGCGATATGAATAAATTGTTACGGAACAAGCAACACGATGGAAGAAACCAGTCTTCGTTTCGAACTTCTCCGCGGTAGATTACGCGAAGAATTTTCTTCTAATGTCTGTAATTATGCACAGGTTGGTATGAATTACCAGTTGCTGCTGGACGTGCAATGATTGATACGATATTCGGTCTGGATTGGTTCATTGAAATGGTTCAGAAGAATATTATACTCTTTTTTTTCGTGTGCGATTATCGGTAACGCTGCAAGTGCGTGACTTGCACCTGATGCAGGCTTATTAACCCTCGAACAGCCGACCGAAAACAATGACGCGGCACGCCAACACCGGGTCTCTTTTGACCCATACTGGAATTTTTACTATAATAATATAATAAATA